TTAGCGGTTAGAGCTTTGGCTTCCGGTAAAGGCCTTCTCTGATACGCGGGTTAAAATCCCGCCAAACACCTCCAGTTTTTTTACAATTGGGTCAACTCAAATTAAGCAAATCTGCCAAACCTCCTAATACTAAAATTGTTAGAAGTCTGCAAGCTAGAAAATTACTCCCTATTTTCGAAGCGGCATGGGCCCCGCCGCTTTTTCTGGTACTTCTTTTGAGAATAATATGATCTTGATAGCCAGTGAAGCTTCACAGATGTCTTTTCATCAGACAATGTCGATGTCTTAGGGCATGCCCAACGTTATGGCCGCACTAGCCAACAGCACCCTCTCCTGCATCCGGTCTTCTTCGCGCAGTCAAGAAACCCGGCTCAGGTATGGACAGAGGAGATAAAGTGTAGTAGAGTATGCGCCACTACCTGTCCCTGTGGCCAACATTCCGAGGGCATGCGGTGAAATGACGGCCAAACTGTCGCGGGTTCATAGAAAAAAAACCTGGTAAGCAAAGAATATGAGAAGGCGACGGCCCGCACCAGGAGGCGTTAGAGACATAACGAGCAACGGATTGTGAGGTTGCAATAAGACTTACAGATAGTGGTGGAATTTTTATATGCGGTCTTTATTAGGCTCAAACCGGGATCTAGAAGTCAATATAGGCCTCGACAATAATATTATACAAGTCGCTTAAGGTATTACCACACACCTTACGATGGAGTGCACCCACCCGTCATACTTTCGCATCTGCGGGAAGTCAGTTTGATACCCTTCTGCAGTTTAGTTCAGTTTACTGAGGAAAATACGTTTGAGTCTTGGAGTTCTTTATTTGCAACGTAAGACTGAGTCTTCTAACGCATACACACGCAGTACGAGGTTGGCCGTCCCTTCATGAGACTGTGCGCAATGGCAGAACGTTTAGATTATATTCAGAACCGTGGCGGAGTTCTGGAAGTGCTGAAAACTCTTCAGAGGGGAAATTTGCTAAGTGAGTAGACTGAATATCAATAACCGTTTGATAAATTCAGGTTTTATTTCACCTGCCGTAAGGATTACCTTAATATTATACGTGAGGCAGGCAGAGAAGAAGACATTGTATAAGAGATCCTAAGGCCTCCATTCATGCCATATGCTACTATATTGAGGAGCTGGGTTACTTTGTTCACAGTGTCCTGAAGTGGAATAAAGGCTGGAATAAGGGTAATCGATTACTTGCACAAAAGTAGGAATTTGTACTAATATGGCTGCCCAACGAGCAAATTAACAGATTGCTATATACATTTTTGATTGCGGACTTCCGAAAAGAGTGCTTCAGATTTCTTTCATCAAACTTTTTTAGGGTTGCGTTTTGTGGTTCCGAGGCCATGGGATTTCTTCTTGAAGGACAATAAAGAGCACTGGGCGCAGGAGTCCTCGAAGCTCGAGGCGAAAAAGCAAGAAAATCAAGAAAACCAGGAGGACCCGAAGGACCCTCCGGACAAATCACCCAGCCCACCCAACGAGGATGACACAGAGCCTGAAGAGGTGGAGGAAGAGGACGAGGATGAGGAAGAAGAAGAAGAAGAGGAAGAGCATCCTTGAATTTGGCGATAATGCAAAACTACCCTACAGTCCCATCATTCCTCAGTCAAACCCCATCAACTCTTTTTAAAACTCAGGCACCTGTTCGCGTCTGAGGATTCGCTTGTTACTCTCAACTGACTGACTCAACTCCTGACATGATCCCCCAAAGAGGAGCCTCCGCATATCCGTGTACACACAGACAACATGTAGCTCAGTACTAGATCTAGCTAAGGTGCCTATTTAGATACTTGTCTCCCAAATTTTGTTGATGTGTAAGAACGAGTTTCTGAAAAAATAAGGTTCAAAAATATGAAAAGCCCTCAAGAAAATGTGGTAGACAGGTTAAAATACCACTCTAACACCCCCGGAACCGTAATAGGCCACCAGCGGTTAATCTTAATGAAAGTCCCTAAGAAGAAGACGCGACCACTGGAACAAGAGATTCCTGACGTTTTGGATTCCATCGCGAATCCTTAATCATAGGTAATGGTAGCATAGTCTGAGTCATGCGCAGATAGGGGAGAAAAATGCAC